AAGAATGGGCAGGGCTCAAAGTTGATCCAGAGGCCCAGCTGTTTGTGTTTGTCGGTCGTTGGTCCATGCAAAAGGGCATTGATCTGATTGCAGACATCTTCCCCTCCATTCTAGACGCTCACCCAAAGGTCCAGTTGATGTGCATTGGTCCAGTCATTGATCTCCATGGAAGGTTTGCCGCGTTGAAACTGAATCGACTCATAGAGCTCTACCCTGGGCGGGTCTATTCCAAACCAGAGTTCACTGCACTACCGCCCTTCATTTTCAGTGGTGCTGAATTCGCCTTGATTCCTTCGCGTGATGAACCGTTCGGTCTGGTAGCCGTGGAATTCGGACGGAAAGGAGCGTTGGGCGTGGGGTCACGGTAAGACTGACCTGGCTTGAGTCTACCGCCAGCGCTAACCTACGTTTCTTTAGTGTTGGTGGCCTTGGGCAGATGCCAGGATGGTGGTTTACAATGTGAGTTTCCTTCTCTCACGATATGTTCAGACTAACCCATTCTAGCGAGTCTATGACAACCAAACATCTTATCCAACAATTCAAGATGGCCATCAACGACGCTCTGAAATCGTCCCAGGAAACACGAGCGCTCATGCGTGCACGATCCAGCAAGCAGCGCTTCCCCGTAGCACAGTGGGTTGAGGATCTAGAAATCCTACATGCCACCTCAATCGAAAAGCACACCAAGTACTCTAAGCGCCATGATCGCAGTTCATGGAGGACTTCCTATGGCAGCACCCTTGTCCCAGAAAGCATTCGCAAGGTCTCGTCGAGCTCAAACAACAGCCGCGAACAGAGCCGATCACGCAGCTCCATCGTGTCTGTCCCGCCGAGCGTGCCGATTACGTCTGATATGAGACTGTCTGTATCTCGACCAGATTTCGACCACGTTGTCTCGCCGACAAATCTGTCTTCCAATCTAAACATGTCCGACAACGAGCCCGATTCTGACACCGACCCTAGACACAAACCCTTGTCCTCCAACCCTCCCGCAGATTCGCGAATCGTTTACTCTGCGGTAAGCGATGGAGAAGATGTCGAGCCCATTTCTGGGGCCATCCAAGAGGACGGCAGTGTTCGTCCGTCGCCACTTGGGACACCTACTTTTTATTTTGCTCGATCTGGTGCCAGCACACCAGTTCTCGGTGCACGACCAGAAGACAGTCTGCTGGGCCGAAGAGACGCAAGGGCGTCTATGATGAGTCTGGTCAGCGTCGATGGTATAATAAAGGAGAAACAAGACTACAACCTCCAGAAAGTTGATCCATTTTTCACGGATGCGAATAACGAGTATGCCGACAAGTTTGAGAAGAAGCTTGCGAATCTGAATGGCAAGAACTCTGAAGACCAGCTCTGCATCGAAGAGTTTCTCGAAAAGAGCCAAAAAGACTGGTTCAATCGATACCGCGACGTCAAACTGGGCAAGTCCCCCTTGCCGTCTCCTGCTGCCTCTGTCTTTCGCATCAAGGTTCGTGAAACCGGTCGATCAGAGAGCCCGCCAATTACTGGTCCAGATGCAGACCCAAATGCCGGGCAATTCATTCTCCCGAATGACTATGTTCCCCCCACGGGTTTGAAGCGTTTCATGTTGATGAAGCTGGGTGATTGGCCTGTGTACTCCATCTTCCTCGCTATTGTGAGTTGGAACCCTACCAAAAGTTTTCATTACAGAGGTTGACAGCATTCTTTTAGGGCCAAATTCTCGCCTTGAACTCGTACCAGATCACACTCCTGAACGGTGAGATTGGACAGACGGCCGAAAAGCTATACATTCTGGCATCCATCTATCTTGCCTCTTCGATCATATGGTGGATGGTCTTCCGCCTAGTCCCCTCAGTCTATGTGTTGGCGACTCCTTTCTTTGTACGTTCACGTTCCTCTATCTGGCTTACGAGGTTACAAGCTAACTACCTGCAGATATACGGGTTTGCCTTTCTGTTTGTCGGTCTTGCCGGTCCCATCCACAGCAGCACAAGTCGAACATGGCTACAAAACATGGGAACCGGCTTGTATTCGTTTGCGTCTTCGAGTGGTTCGATTTTCTTCGCCCTCAACTTTGGAGATGAAGGTATGCAACGATCCTTTTAGGATGTATGGAAGTTATCTGACTTTCTTGTCCAGGTGGAGCGCCTCTGAGGTCTTGGATTTATAGAGCCACCGTCATCCAGGGCACTCAGCAGTTGTTCATCAGTTTCCTTTGGTACTGGGGTAGCTGGATAGCAGCTCTCAATCGAAAGGGTAGCGCGCAATTCAGCCTTGCCGTGACCGATCCAGGCGCTTTGCTCGGGATCGGAATCGGACTTGCCTCTCTTCTGTGGCTGTTGGGGGCCCTGGTCTTCTTTGGACTCCCTGCATATTATAGACAAGCACCAGGTCAAGTGCCGACATTCTACCTATCGCTCTTCCGCCGTCGCATAATTCTTGTATGTCTCTTTCCACCCCCCCCCCTCTTCAAGCTCTTTTTGATTCTGACGCTGTATTTTGCAGTGGTTTTTCTATATGGTGTTCATATCAAACTACTGGCTGTCGGCACCTTACGGACGAAACTGGCTCTATCTCTGGTCCAGCAAGCATGCACACATGTGGCAAATCGTGCTCCTTGTCCTCCTCTTTTTCATCGTTGTCTGGGCGGCAGCTCTCTGGGTCTTTCACGTCTTTTCCAAGAGACACGCCTGGTTCATCCCGATCTTTGCCGTCGGTCTTGGTGCTCCTCGATGGGCCCAGATCCTGTGGGCAACCTCCAACATAGCCACGTACATCCCCTGGGCCGGTGGTCCCGTAGCCGGAGCTATCCTTGGCAGAGCACTATGGCTCTGGCTAGGAGTTTTGGATTCCCTTCAGGGTGTCGGTAAGTTTCCTCTCGCAGCGAATAAAACGTAACACAAACTGATTCACGCCAATACAGGGTTTGGAATGATCCTCCTCTCCACAATGACTCGATTCCATGTCACCTTCACACTTCTAGCCGCGCAGGTGATCGGTTCTATTGCGACTATTCTCGCCCGCGCGACAGCACCGGATAAGTTAGGCCCTGGTGATGTTTTCCCTGATTTCTCTGCTGGCGTCGCAGCCGGCTTGGGAAAGGCAAACTTCTGGGTCTGCCTGCTCTTCATGCTATCCATCAACGTACTCTGCATCTTCTTCTATCGCAAGGAACAACTCGCGAAACCTTGATCGCTGTTCCAACCTTGACTAGCATTTCTTTTTTGTTCTGTTTTACATCCACTCAACATTCTGTGGCGTAGGCATTGTGATTGAAGGATTAATTATACTATAGTGGGCTGTATCTACTGGAGCGCGGTAGACTTTGTGAATGTCGCCCCATGTTTTGAATTTGTATATAATGTATAAAAAGACTACTGGTTTACAAGTTCTATAGGTGTCCAAACGTAATGTTCATCTTCGTGTGATTCTGAATAGGCAGCGATGCTTCCAGTCCCAAATCAAATTCATTATTCTTTTTACCTTGAAGCCGTTTCCCTTGTTTGGACTTCATTGAGCAACGTTTCCCATTCGATTGAATTTCCTGTCAAGCGGGGCGGCGCGTCCCGATCGCGCGAGCCTACACCAATATAGGACTAGGGCGACGGGGTCTAGCCTAATTAGTAACTATCCGTTTTAGGGCTAGTCAGGGGAACTGATTATTCCGAGCCCTCTGATAAGTAACAAGGTATATATTATCGTGATGGCCCTTATTTTCTTTGCAAATTGCATCTGCTCGAGTTGTTATTCTTGCCACTCTTTTCAAGTTAATACAACACTCATACATTCTTTTATTCCATTCTCTTGTTCCATTCTCTTATTCCATTCTCTTACTCCATTCTCTTACTCCATTCTCTTACTCCATTTTTGCGGTGCATTTACCAGTCTCTCGTTCTCATCCAATGTATCACATTTTTTTCTCATTCGTCGTGGCCCTCTGCCTTGGCACGCGCTGGGTGGTCGCTGCTTCAACCTCGGGTGAAATTGCCAACTCTCTCAATGAACTAGCACAGCAAGGATTCGCTGCCAAGGAACTCGTATTGGAAATCAATTCCACTGCGGACGCTGGTCCAATCCCGGTAAGTGGGGTGTTTTTTAAGTTCCATGAATGACAGCTCATAATAAAATTCAGCATATCTACACTGAGATAGACACGATGGTCGCTGTGGTTCTAACAGATGTAAAATTTATGACGAACACGCCAATCATTACCGATCAAGCCGAGGAGCAGGACGTCTATGAGGGATACTCAAATGTAGGTTGATGACGAAAAATAAGTCAATCGGAGTCATTTATACTTAATGACGCTAGTTCGTACAATCCCTCCTCGAGCTCATGGATGCCTTGTCGAGCAGTGCAGCCCAGCTGCAATCCATCAACCAAACAACCAAGAACAGAGTTCCCTCTGAAATTCGCATCTTGCAAAGTGCCGTTGACGTGAGTCTCTTAATAACTGTTAATTCTTTGCTACGGCCTGAGTAGATTGCCGATAAGATGCTGATACTTCACAAGGCCTACTTCTACAACATCATCGGTCTTTTCCCAGCCAACAGCTCGTACAACGCCCAAGCCAACAACCAGAAAGCCCAGGTGGACACGCATTGCTTCCAGGCTGTCTGGGCATTTGATCTCGATTATAGCAATGATAATCAGGCTACTCATCAAGCGCGCAGCAACAGCCACCTTCACTCTCGATGGATGAAGCGCGGTTCCTTGTGATTTATGACTATGTCCATCTTTGAATATCACCTGGATGGCCACTGGTAGACCTGGCAGATAGGCGGGTACTCCCTGCCCGTTTGGCCCATTTTGAACGGAAACTTTCTGTCAGGCCCACTGCCTACCGCATTGTAACGGGCCAGGGGATACTGAATGGATCGCATGGTTGTTATAACGTGAGCTAGCTAGCTAATTTAACCACGGTGTAATTACATGATGCTCGCTTGCCGTAGTTGCCTACCTGGCTTGCTTGGCTAGCCTTGTGATCTGTTATGTAGAGTGAGGATATTCTCAAGGCATTACAGGCCTCGCACAACTTTGCAACAATTGTACTGGTCGCGAAATGGAGGGTCTGGAGTGTCTGGGTTCCTGGGTTTCCAAAAGCGAACGTATTCGTCAAGCGCCCTACTCGCTGTCCAGAATCCCGCGGGCGGATCTTCAGGGCTCAGCGCAATATCCATGTCCAGACCCAAGTCCCGGCATGATGACCGAACAGCGATAACATCCTTTTCATCTTTGTGCCCTATCGTTTCTAACGCAAAGTCCCGCATGATGATTGTTCTCAGTAACGGCGTCGAAGAGTGTGCTGAAGGGAGAAATTCCTGGATGGCTCGGGCGACCGCACCAAGGCCCCACTCGTAAACATCCCCGGGATCGCCGTCCTCTATATCACGCGCGACCGCTGATAGGTTGTCCCTAATAGCTAATTTTTGAAGGTTCAAAGGTAATAACTCCTCTAGCTTGGGTGCGTCATCGTGAACCCACCCAAAAAGCATGACAGACGGTAGCTCTGCCGTTTGAAGCTGGGGGAAATTCTTTAAGAAGCCCCGGAATGGGATTAACCCTTGTTCAATGTCACCAAATTCTTCCTCATCCCACATTGTGTCCGTATTAAACGGGCAGAGCTCAAGGCCGATTGAAAGGTGTTCGACTGTTCCACTTATGTTCAGAAGTCCTTCGAGGAGCGCACCTTCCATTTGCTGTCGTAAAGGAGGACGGGGAGAATCAATATCCTGACGAGCTTTTTTATCCTGGGAAGGATAGACAAGGCCTAGGTGAATGCTCTTTACCGATGAAAGGAGTGACAGCAAATCCCTGACCTCATCTTCGTCGATATAGGATTCCGTAAGCACAAGTCTGTCGAGTTGAGCCAAATGGGCCAGCTTGCTTAACTTGACACCTTGGAAACTTTGGAGCCATATCTCTAGCGATTTCAAAGAAGGTAGATAAAACCAGCCTGCAAATTGCTCTGGGTCGCAAATCGGAAATGGGTCGGGGAAGCGACACATTGGGTCATCACTAGCTACTCTTCCAGACGGGAGGTTCAGGCCGTATTCAACCAATGAGAGCTCGGAGAACTTTGAGAGTGTGTTTGGAGGTGCCGAAAGTAGAGCATGTCGCATCATGAGCCCTGGAAACCCCGATTGCCACACAAAAGTGTAATCCAACCGTAAAGATCGTAGATTGTGGAGCTGAGAGAGAAGAATAGCCACAAATGCATACGGGTCGCCAAGCTCTAGCGCCTGGATCCATTTCTCAGGCGAAGGAAACTGTGCCCGAGCGACAATGTCCTTCGCGGCATGCACCTCATCCTGAAAGGTAGTTGAGAGTTGTTCCCAGTTTCCGTCAATCAAAGGAGGCTTCCAATCGTCTAATACCATACTTGCTGGATACTCCAAACGAGAGGAGATCATGCGAACATGGCGAATACGCGCAGCTAGATCTGGGCGTCGACGAATGACATGGAATAGTGATAGAACTCGCTTGAGAGGAGGTCTGGTCCAGTCAAGGTCGACTTGGCGATATAAAGATTCTTCCGAGGAGATTTGAAGAACCCGAGATGCAGCACCAACGGAAGCAGAATCGGAGGACACAAGCTAGTCAAGAATTTGCGTCAGGCATTCTTGGGGAACTTTTTCGATGGAACTATAGCGGATCAGCTTGGATCCCTGTATAACAGGAATCAAAACGCACCTTGACGGGGATTGTACGCGACCCATGGCGGCGAAGCTGATGTTGAAATCAGGGCGGCTGCTTGCAGTGGCGAAAGAGAACTCCAGGAATTAAATGGTAGGTCGCAACGTCCAACTAATGTTATTGAGAGAGCAAGGGTCCACTGAGTTGGGGGCTGTTTTGGTGATGGGGGCTCGGGGCAAAAACGACGTCAGGGTCAGATCCACACTACGTTGGTCCCACTTCTCGACAGGCCTGCTATGACTAATTGAGTGCGATGAATGCCATGGGAGCAAAGTGGTGAAACTGATTTCGATCCATCCTGCATGTCGGGGTCTGACGCTTGGGTGAAAAGAACGGGCATCATGGATTGAACCCAGTGGCGTGGGAGTGGTCATATAGAGAAAAGTCCACCAAACCTGACCTAATATTCGTGGCCGGGAAAAGGGCTCAATTTACTGCACTTTTGTTTCAGATTGACACTTAGTTGATGACACAGTTTACAAAAGGTTGAATGAAGTTTGAAAAAGTGGTCAAAAGCGACAGATAAGTGATATAAAAGCTGTAAAGTGCAACTGTGCACAGTCTTCGTACATATCTTGGTTGAGTAATTTAACAGAGCTCTGATCAAACCACAGCTCTGCTTTCATACCCAGCGTTCAGCAAGTTTTACATCCGCCCATATCATTTCACAAGAACCCTAATGCCTTTACTTGAGGCTTTGGATCGAGGCACAAAGCGGTCTCTGGCCAGCTCCACATCAGTGTGATCAGTCTCATATAATTCAAAATCAAACCTCCGAAAAAGAGTGGCAATGCCGATGAAGAGCTCTGCATAGGCTAGTTGAAGCCCTACACAGGATCGAGCTCCACGCCCAAAAGCGACCATGTACCGTGAGAGAAGCCGGCCATCTGCAGCACGGGGGCTACCTAGCCAGCGGCATGGGTTGTAACTGTGACTGTCTGGGAATACAGACTCATCGTGGGACACACCATATATGTCCATACTAACAACAGCACCAGGGGGAATGACATAGCCTCTGTATGGGATTGTCTCGTTATCAGCGATGCGAGGAATTCGTTGAGATGTCCCATAGGCTAAGCGCAGGGCTTTTTTCCGTTCATTATTCGTCAGCCGCATAATGTTATGGAGATATGGAAAGACGCTCACATTCGTTTATACAAGCTGAAAGGAATGGCAACTGTTCCAGGGCCTCCCATGGAGGTAGACTGTCAGGATCAGGAATACCAGCAGTCAATTCTTCCCTCAGGCGCTGATGTATGGATGGGTTGTTGACGATGTGAAATACCGAAATGGTCAGTGCTCGCATGGTAGTCTCAATACCCGCTCCCACAACACTAATTGCTTCGTGTTGCAGGCGAAGGGGCGTCACTTCCGAGCGAGGAACATCAGACTGAATAATTGACGTGAAGATAGTGTCCGGACGATGGCCCTTTACGGCTTTGTCATGTGCATTATCCAAGGCCTCTTCCACTTGGGTGAGCATTTCCTGTGGTTCCATCCATTAACAAGGCATTAAAGGCTGAAGTGGAACCATACTCTTACTTTGTTGAAGTCGATAACATTTTTCATGCGTGGGTCCAACCATCCCACCAGCGAGTCAGGTAGTAACTGCATTGTCTTGACCATCCACGGAAACTGAGTGATCCAATGCACGCCCTCAAGCAAATCAATTAACGACACCACAAGCCCAGCCTTGAAATCAGGGTCTCTGATGAAGTTATACCGTCTTTCAAAACAATATTCAATGATGATATCAGTGGTCCAACAGCCCCACATCTCGTTGATAACTAAAACACGACCTGTGCCCTGAAACTCACGTTTAAGTCGAGAACAGAGCTCATCCATGTGACCTCTGATCACCGGAATCCTGTCAGATATCTTGCGCTTGGAGAAGAACGGGTTCAAAGCGCCGCGACGAATGCGATGTAAAGAATGATCCGAGGTAGCAAAGGCAGAGCTGGGATTGTTGAAGCGATGCTCCAGATCTTTCAGCTTACTGGCAGGCCTCGACGATCCGTAGAACGTTTCGAAGAAGGGGGCATCTTGGATATGCAGCTCCCGTGGATTGATTCGGATGATAGGGCCTTCGCACTATCTATTAGTAAATCTTCTCGCATCATTGAAGTCCCTGAAGAGGAAGCAGTCATGTACCATATTTTTCATGCCATTCGCGGTACTTGAATACAAATTGGCCCCCTTCACCATACAGAAGCTCGTAGTATGCTTCTGTCCAATATGTCAACGCAGCAAGTTTTGGCCCAGGAAATTGTGCGAGAGGGCTCATGAAAAGACGATAAATCACTAGCCCTCCGGCGTAGGTCACGAGGATGCTCAAAGTAAGCCATGACACGACCCAGATATCCGTCTTGGTGTCAATGAAGTGCACAAGTTCTGAGAAGATACCCATGTTGTGCGCAAGTATAATAGAAACCTTTGCAGCAAATTCTTGAAGATGTTTGGCCGTTTCCAAGTGATGCATCTTTGATATTTCAATCCCTGTTGGGCGAATGACATATATCCTAACTCGCCGGTTGGTCACGCTAACTAAACCCCCGATTACAGGTACCTAGTTTAGAATATCGCCGGACTGTTGATGCGCATCCCACATTAAGTATATCCCCTGCGCATCGGGCACTTCTTTTATGGCTCATGATATTGGTTATGAGTTACAGTTGGGAGACAGCATAGCTCGTGCATTTCGCCCGGTTGCGCACGAGTGACTTTAAATTTTCACAACGATAGAAGATTACATTTGGTAGGATAGATCCACCCTCTCTACCCTACCCTCTCTACCCTATCGGAAATACTATGTCCTCACTTGACCAAAACACGAACCCCTTTAGTTCCGGCTTTAGCCACCGGAATGAAATAGTCGGCATCCATATCAACCGCATTCCTTTTAGTCTCGAAAAGTTCCAAATCGAGCCGACGAAAAACATGAGCCAAGGCCAAATACATCTCGGCATTAGCCAGGTTCATCCCAAGACACATGCGGGGTCCACTTCCGAAAGGCACGAGGTATTTCGAAAGTCCTCGATGTTGTTCACTTTCTGCCCCACCGTCATCTTGTCCTAGCCATCTTCCTGGTCGGAATTCATCCGGATCGGGAAATATGTTGCAGTCGCGGTGCTGCAAATAGGATGTCATGCTGAATGGGACGCCTGGTGGGATAACATACTTTCCATACTTTATTGGGGAGTAAGGATCAATTCTCACAAGGCGCTGGGAGATACCAAACGACAAGCGGAGAGCTAAAACGAAAATTTCAAAATTTGAAAATTAGCCCAAGGGAAATGAATTTACTTTTCAACTTCCAAATCTCACCTTCTTGGACTACTGCATGGAGATAAGGCAACTTTTCCAGTTGCGAGAGAGATAGCGGGGAACCTACAGGGTCTGGCATCGCATCGCGAAGCTCAGCTCGTAGCCGTTGGTAAATCGCTGGATTGTCTAGAATATGGAAGGTCGCCATAGCCAGAGCGGTTTTGGTTGTCTCAATCCCTGCTCCGGTAAGACTAGCTGCTTCTTGCTGAAGGAGGTCGAGAGATTTCTCTTCATTTTGTAGAAACTTCGAATGGAGAAGTTCAGTGAATATTGTGCGGTGGTTGTTCGACTTGGTCTTTGTGTCTTTATCCGCCATTAAGCGCTGGATCTGAGCTCTAATCTCGCCGTGGAAATCAAAGACAGGCTTCATGTCTGGGTTGAGGATGGCAACGACAGAGGGTGGCAATGATTGCATGAGGGCCAGGAACCATGGAAAGTGACCAGAGAGATGAAGGCTTCGGGCAAGTTTGCGAATTGATGTGGTGAATGGTGTCTGAAAGTCGGGATAATCTAGGAAATTGTAGGACACCCCGAAGCTATAATAGTTGATAACATCGGATGTGAGAGCCGCATAAGCATCATCAAGAGATACTGGAAGATCTTTTCCCGCATATTCCGTTTCCAGACGTTTGCACATTTGGTCCACGCGTTCTTGTACATATGGGAGGTATTCGAATACTCGTTGACGACTGAAAAACGGAGAGACAGCTTGGCGACGTCGACGGTGATGGTCATGTTCAATCACGTCAAATGTGGACAGAGGAAGCCCAAAGCGATACTTCCAAGCCTTGGGCTTACTGTAACGTGATTTGTTCGAATAAAGGGTCTGATAAAATTCGGCGTCGGCAATGTGCACCTCCCAAGGATTGATGCGAATGATAGGGCCATATTGCTGGTGCCACTTCTCTATTTCGAAGATGAATTGCCCTCCTTGAAAAACATCCTTATAAGTTTCATACCATCCAGTGAGAGCGGTCAATTTGGGTCCTGGAAATCGTGCGAGAGGACTTAACAACAGCCGGTATATACCAAGCGCAGTTGAGTAAAAAACGACCGCTAAGACGACCACCACAGTTGGAGTGAAAGGATCCATGTTGTTATTCAATATCAAATGATAATTGTATTTTTAAGAAATATCGATGTGTTCTGGAATTGTATCTTCTATATTTTATGCTCTTCCTAGTAAATACTCGCGATCTGCTCGGGGACTAAGTACCTCCCTCGGGGGCATACAATCAAAAGTCGCCGCCTCAAATCCTTCATACCAGTAATGCATAAACACTCCTCAATATCCACTTTGAAACAGCTCTAACAATATGGTCGTCCGCATTCTTTGTCTTCATGGAATGGGTGTCAATGGGGACATCTTCTCATTTCAAACAGGTAATACCGCCTTTCAATTTTCATTCATACCTAGGTAAATATTAAGCTAAGCGGTTTTAGCTGGGCTGCAATCTCAACTCCCATCCAACTATGAATTCTTCTTCGCCAATGCTCCCGAGACTTGTGATCCTGCACCGGGAATGGGTGATTTCTTCTCGGGTCCCTACCGATGCTGGTACAACACTCCCACTACGAGCAAGGTAGCTGCAGCGCATCACTTCGTTCAAAATATCATCGAGCAAAATGGTCCTTTTGACGGGGTCATAGGCTTCAGTCAAGTAAGTCCTCTGGCGCAATTGGATGAGGCTGTTTGAAG